ATTGATCATTCTGAAGAATCTTATATAAATACTCCTTCTATTAGACTACCAAGCATAGACCACCAGAAATAGTTGTAAAAAGAAAATTCCAAAGGTATGGGTAACTGACCTGGTAATTGGGAAATTAGGCTATGGATTTTTCAAGGCAAGGGTCATTCCAGAAGGAAGATTGAAGAACTTAACCCAAGTAGAAAAGACTGAGCAGATCCACTGATACCAACTTCTGGAAATGATGAGAAATGGAGGAGGTAGATGAGGAAACAAGAATATGAGTGCTTCTGTTCAAACCAACAAGAAGAAAGAGTAAGTCCAACTTTGGGATGGTGAGGAGTTTTCAGGAATCAAGAATTATAAAGAAAGAAGCCAAGTGGTAGAGCTGAAGTATGTTTGGTTGAGGATGGGAGCCACTAGAAAAGGGGACAGGATTGTTATAAACAGAAAGGCTGGATTTAGATGAGCTATGAATTGGTACTTGGCCTTTAAGACAGTTTTAATTTGAGTTATCACCATCTTATCCTTTAGATAGGAAGGAAAATTTTACATATTCTGATTTAGTTATTGCTGCTAATGACTTATCTAAGCTAGTCTTCAGTGACTGAGTCTCTAGGTGCTTATCAGGGTGTCTTCAGTGTTGAAGGCAAGGCAGAGGCAAGGCTGCAAATGTGTCTCAGGAGAATTTGGCCAGGGTGTCATGAAAACAATGCACCTCAACAACCAGGAGTGATTGTATTGGCATGTTTATCCTGGTAGTGGTTACGTGAATGTGCTTGTGTCCAGAGTATGGAGTTTATCAAGCTTTGCACTTTAGAGTTCTACATTTTATACTGTGTATGTTATGTTCTAATCAAAGAATCAACAAAGAAATGAGAGAGCAAGCAGTGATGCTAAAAAATCACTGAACCACAAGCCAAGATCCTTTTTTAAAAAAGAGATGACTCATTTGACAACGGATCTTTTTGAATTTCATTTTGATCACAGCAAGACAAATTTCAGTACCAATAAATTTAGAGAAATAAAACTTAAAAAAGAGAAAGCCAACTGAATGTGGTGGTGCATGCCTGTAATTCTAGCACTTTGGAGGCTGAAGTAGGAGGCTGACTGTGAGTTTTAGGCCAGCCTGGGCTACATAATGAATTCAAAGTCAGCCTCGACTATACAGTGAGACTCTGCCTCAACCCCTCACCCATAAAAAGTTGAGAAAACTTACCAATCCAAATGTTCTTTCCTTTGAAAATATTTATAGCATTTAAAAACCCTTAACAGTGTGAATCAAGAAGAAATATAAATGAAGAGGAAACAAAACATTCTAAAAATCATGAAAAGTATGATGAAGTGAGATTCACAGGGCTGCAGAGAGGAAGGATGGGGCAGAGAATAAAGGGAAGTTGTCCTGAAAAAAAGGTAGGTTTATAAAGGGAGCCCAGAGAGGAAGATGCTGGCTCACAGGTGAGTACAGAGTGTAGAAATCCTAGATCCCTTGATCCAGTTCAGATCTAAGATCAGTGATGCTCAGTCCTGAATTTGTGACATCAGACTGTATGGTAGTTTTAGGACTCCCTAGATTGTTTCCCTACTCTAAACCATAATATTCTGAAAGCTTTTGCTTGTCCTCTGCTGCTCTATCTTTGAAGATGTCTCACTCTGTGTTCCCCCCAACATCTACTAAAAGTCTTACAATCTGAATTGCTGTACTTCCTACTTTATTTGATATATCAAATCGTTTACCAGTTTTTGGTTTTGGTGCTGGTTTGTTTGTTTCAATACAGATGATAATTTTCTATCAGGTGTAAGTTTTGTGGTTTTGTAGAAAATGTCAGAGCACTCTCTTCAAGGCTGCTGAGCTGACCTGCAAGCTAAGTCAACCAGTGCTCAGTTCTGCAAGAAGCCAGTGGAAGTGACAAATGTATGCCACACACTCAGGATGAAGAACCATATGAATATATATATATATATATATATATATATATATATATATATATGTATGTTTTTTTTGGTGCTCATAACAGTGAAAATATTCACTGTAACAACTGAGATTTTGAGAGCATAATTTTTTCAATGTGCTTATCTAATTATTTAGGGAGATCCAAAGCACCTGAAGAAACATGAAAAGAGAGGAAGTAGAGGTAGTGTTTGAATGTAAGGATGTGGCAATTTGCCTGCTTGGAAATCTCTTCCTGAGGGGAGGCCCAGGAAATTATAGCTGAAGTCAGGGTAGACTTGAGGTTTGGCAAATCACCCCTTCACTGAATGTTGTCCGGAAACCTAAGAAATAATTCTTGGAGTAATTATGGTTCCTGTTAAGCCCACTGAAGTCGCACAGTTAGTGTGATCCACCAGTCAGAGGCCTTGTCAGATAAAACATTAGGACTTGAGAGGTTGATGAAGGAAATCAATTGGACTTAACATGATCCAGTCCACATTTTGGATCTTGAATGGAGGTCTGCAACTAAAGGTGCATGTCCCTGTCCCCAGGGAGTTGAATGATTAGTGAGTAATAAGAATTGAAGCATGAATTTATCCTGGATTGAGTATGTTTTTCATAACCACTTATACTCTACCCTTAATCCAGTTTCCTTTTAGTAAGTATTGTTACATGGCACCAGAAGGACTAATTATTTTGTTATTAGTGATGCACTGAAGGCAAGTGGCGGAGATTCCTTTCCACCAAAGCGACAATGGAAACAAAGCAAGCATGCAAGTAAACAAACAATGAAAAACTCCTAAACTTAATTGTTTTATAAAGAACTCAGTGAATCCCTTTTCCTATATATTCACTGGTTTGGACATTGTCAGTGGGAGATTATGAGAGGACAAGAGAAGAGATCAGGTAGTACAAGTTGGGTTTTTTTTCAATTTGTTTTCTGGGTCACTTTTATTAATGTACACTGTATAAAGCAATTTACAGGTAGAAGATTCTGTGGGTACAATTGTTACATTTTTGTTAGCTATACTTTATTGATCACCTGTGTATGAACCAGAATGTTGAGCACTGTTGCATATCTTCTCAACTAAATCTTAAAATGTCTTTTTGATGTAGGGAGTATAATCTCCATTTTACTGAGGAATAAATTAAAATTCAGATCGTTTACACTATTTGGCCAAGACACATGGTTAACAAGCAACAACGTAACATTTTCAATCTAGGGAGAGTATGACTTTAGATAATTTAATTTAATTTAATTTAATAATAGACTCCAGACTCTAGAAGCATTGCTTTAATCTCTCCTCTTTTGCTTTTAGATGCTGTTGGCCAGTAATACATTTTGAGTGGAATAATTGAAATGTGAAAATCTTTATGTTGTATTTAAGTAAACCAAGGGTTCCTAGAAGAAAATCTAGTTAACATCTCTCAAGACTGAGCGATATCACTGATGAAGTAGAACCCCTTTTAAGGAGTGTTCTCAGAGGGATGAAGAATGTACATGTGCACAAGTACCATGCAACATCAAGGAAACCAATCAACCTAAAGTGAAGGGAACTAACAGGATGTCAAGCAGGAAGGAAAAAGTAGTTAGTGCTGACCCCTACTTCAGCTTCACTCTCCAGGTCAGCACACACATGACACGGTGACCTGAGGAAGACAGAAGGCAAAGTCAGTGAAAAACAGAAATTGCAAGGCTAATGCACAACTTCTGGATGTACAGTTTAGGAAATCTCTTTACTGTATTGAAACTGTTCCAGTGTAAACTGTTCCACTGTAAAGAATGTCTTGGGTAAGTGTCTACAGTTATATTTTAGACTTTGAATGTTGAGTTGTATGTATATATCACAGCTATAAAAACTTGGAGCTTTATGCCATATTCACTGAGCACTTGTTATGTGGTACTATTAGATGAAACATTTTATCTTATTTAATTGTAACAATTATCTTGTATCTTTTTATATTAGGAATGGAGAAATATATTCAGGCTGTAAACACCTGTTCTTATTTTAGTGCTATTGTTTATTATCTCTTTCCAAAGAATAAAACTTTATTGTTGACTAGACTGTCTTGCTAGTTTATCATGGTAGCTAAAGAATTAGAAAATTTATTGGAAGTTTTGTACATAAGTTAGTCTTGATTTATCTGTCATTACTAAATCTATTGAAGCTAGTTCAAGGGTTGGAGTGAAATCTAGGACCATAAAAGGATTATAAAAGTTTTTAAACATTTATTATCTCATATGAAAAGTGATAATGCTATTCTCTAATGACCATATTTTCCTGAATTTATTAATGAATCTTTTTTTTTTTCTTTTTCTTTTTGGTCTTTTTCCTTTTTATCGGTACCGGGGATCAAACTCACGACTGCTTGCTTGAAAGGCAGGCACTTATGCCTCTGAGCTAAATCCCCAGCCCCTTAATGAATCTTTTTAACCACAAAGATACTTTGTTCATCTTTTGTCTAGGAATTATATTGAGGATACAAAATATTACACATGATCTGAAGAAGTTCATTGTTTTATTAAATAATTATTGTTAGTGACTAAGCACAAGAGATAGAAGGTAAATTCCTCTAATTTATTTTTTTAAATGTGGAAAATGTAAGATACACTTTATAAGATGCATCTTTTCACTGTGTGCTACAGGTCAAGTTTCACTAATTGAAAAAAATCACTAACAAGAGATACACACTTCCGTGCATACAATAAAGTCAGAGGTAGATGAATGAATCTGTCAGTTTAGATCCTTCAAGGGTTGGTAGGAGAGATTTCATGAAAGCCTGTAAGAAAGAAGCTATGTAAGGATATGCAACAGGAAGGAAGAGAGAATTCCCAAAGGAAAAACCCCAAGAGTTGATCCTTGAACAATGAAGAGAAATTAGGTATGTGGAAACTCTGGAGGAGGATGGAAATTGGAGCAGGATTGATTTGCCAGATACCACTTCTCTGATCTTGAATATGCGCAAGCTGAGAATTCTCAGAGGATTTATTATTGCCACAGACAGGGGACATATCTAATATGTCTGCATTCTTTCTTACAACTCTTTATAAATTAAAAGAAAAGCAATCTTACCTGTGATGCTGGGACCACCCTACAATAACACAATGGAAAATCCTGCCACCTTCTTCCTTGTGGGAATTCCAGGTTTGCAGTCTTTACATCTTTGGATGGCTGTCTCACTGTCTGTCATGTACACGATGGCCTTGCTGGGAAACACCCTCCTCATGACTGTAATCTGCATGGATTCCACTCTCCACGAGCCTATGTATTGCTTCCTGTGTATTCTGGCTGCTGTGGACATTGTTATGGCTTCTTCTGTGGTACCCAAGATGCTGAGCATCTTTTGCGTAGGAGATGGCTCCATCAACTTCTATGCATGCTTTGCTCAAATGTATTTTGTCCATTCAGCCACGGCTGTAGAGACAGGGCTGCTGCTGGCCATGGCTTTTGATCGCTATGTAGCCATCTGCAAACCACTACATTACAAGAGAATTCTCACACCTAAAGTGATGCAGATAATGAGTGTGACTATTGCTTTCAGGGCTGTCATATTCATGTCTCCATTGAGTTGGATGTTGAGTCATTTACCGTTCTGTAGCTCCAATGTAGTTCCCCATTCTTACTGTGAGCACATGGCTGTGGCCAAATTGGCATGTGGTGCTCCCATGCCCAGCAGTCTCTACTACAGTTTAATTGGTTCCTCCATTATTGTGGGCTCTGACGTAGTCTTCATTGCTGCTTCCTATATCTTGATTCTCAGGGCAGTGTTCAATCTTTCCTCTAAGAATGCTCAGCAGAAGGCACTAGGCACATGTGGCTCTCATGTGTGTGTCATGGCCCTGTACTATTTTCCTGGGATGGCATCTATCTATGTAGCCTGGTTAGGGCAGGACACAGTGCCCTTGCACACTCAAGTGCTGTTAGCTGACTTGTACCTGATTCTTCCACCCACTTTAAACCCCATCATTTATGGCCTGAGAACTAAATACATACGAGAAAAAATATGGAGCTTGCTGACCCACTGTCTGTTTGACCTTTCCACTCAGGGTGTATGAGTGCAAAATCATGTCTACCTTGAGCTTTTCAGTCCACTACAAAAGAGCTTTAGGAACCTATGGTACTACATTGATTCATCTAGCACTACAAGCATTTTAAGATGAGGCTATACAGAGTATCTTTGTACAATTTTCTATGCTTAGCAAGAATGTAAATGAAATTCTGATTTTATTCCAATCATATTAGTATACGGATCAGAGTAAGTTTGGGCAGAAAATGCAGATTTGAAATTTTTCTTTCCTTAATTGCTGACCCATTCTCCCAGTGTAATACCCTACACATCCTTTTGCTAAGAAAGTAACAGTTTGACATTCTTCCCTCAAAATCTGCCTGATGTTTGGAAATTGTTCCTCTCTTCATGGGATTATTGAATGAAATTGTTAGTTATGTGATCCTGTCCTCTGACCGTTGATCAGTTCACTCAATTTGAGTCATGTTCTCATACCTGTACCAGAGTCTGCTCCAGCCAAAAATGAATTACAGTTAATTGAGGGGCTTAAACTTGAAATCAAAGATGGTGGTATTTTTCTAACATGCGAGCTTGGAGAGAGAAACCTGGAAAACAGCCAAAGAAGTCATTTATTAACATGGGATAAAAGAGTGTTTCTCTGGTTCCATAGTTCAAATTGATTTTTTGATGCTAATGTACATGCCTGATAGTAACTTCTATATTTACAGATTTTTAAAATTTTAGTTGGTTTTTTAAGGTAATTGGAATTGTTGTATCAGTGATCAGCTTTTTGTTCTTAAATATTATGGAAGATAATTCAGTATGTCTTTGATTTATGCATGCTTCTTTGTGCTTTCTAGACCTACTCTATGTTACTCATTTTTAAAGAAAGAAGAAAGGGGTCAAACATAATTTATGTCTTTCTTCTTGTAGGATTTCTCTCTGGATCTTTCAGAAATAGAAATTGATAGATAACAAAATAGTAAAAGAAATATAGAAACATCACTACTCTTTTAACATGTTTATGACCTTATATAGTTTTTGTGTTATTCTGTTTTATTTTATCCTTTCAGAAATTCTGAAACTGAATATTCAGTATATATTAGCAGCAAAATATCTCATGTAGGAGACACATATACTTGATTCAGGCACTGTTTAAAATCTTAATAAAATATGGTTTTCTAATAGTGTTAAAATTGAAAGTGCATCACTAGCACTGATCCTATGACTTTTTTTTGGGGTGGGGGTACCAGAGATCAAGCTCAGGACTTTGTGCTTGCCAGGTAATCACTTTGCCACTCAGCTAAATCCGTGGCTCTCTATGTTTTAATTTACACATCTGAGGTATTAGCTATCTCTATTACTTTTATAAGCTGATTTTGTTAGCAAATGACTTTCATCTAAAGATATGTTCAGTTAAGAGGCCTATTATACAACAATGTGATTACAGATAATAATGAGATAGTATATTCCTTTTTAAAAATTTTATTTAAAAAAGAGAAAAGTCAGAAAAGAAAAACAAAACGCCAAAGGCATAAACAACAACAGCAGATTCAAAACAATAACAATACAGATCTTCAAAACAGAATGAAAGAAATTTAACAATGGTTGTTATATTGCATATTGTTCATTTTTTCAAATAAAGAGAACATTAAAGAAAACAGAAAAAAGGGTAGAACACTATTGAATTAAAAAATTATCATCGTAGAATCACTAGTTGCTACATTTCTCATTGTCATCTTAAAAAATAGTTGCCAAAGTCAAAAAATCAAAGCATAAATCATGGCTAGACACTCAAACACTGATAGTACAAATCCTTTTATTCAATGTTCCAACAGAAATTCAGTAATAAGGTCATCTATCTTACACACCATACATACTATTATACTCCTTAGAGCATTTTCCTTCCCTTTCGCTTTCACAGTATCTATTATACTTTTTTGATCCCATTGTCAGTTTTTATTGTTTCTTACACTAGAGAGACAATGTGATATTTGCTCATGTGAGTCTTATTTATTTCACTAATGAGGATAGTTTCAAGTTGCCTCCATTTACCTATAAAAGCCTCAAGATCATCTTTTTTTTAGCTGAGTAGTATTCCATTGTATAAAAATACCACATTTTTTTTTTCATATACTCTGCAGTTGCTGGGCATTTTGGTTCTTTCCAAGATTTAGCTATCATAAATTGTGATGTTATGAACATGGGTGCATATAAATCTCTGTGACATGACCTTTCCAATTTTTCTGGGAAAATACCCAGGAAGGGAATAGCTGGATTGAATGAAACTTCCAATCTTAGTTTTTTGAGGTATCTCCATACTGATTTCCACAGTGGTTGCACCAGTCTGCACTCCTACCAACTGTGGAGCAGTGTTCCTTTCTCCTTGCATCCTCATCAACATTTGTTATCAGTTGTTTTCTTGATGGCAGTCATTCTTTCTGGGGTGAGATGAAATATCAACACTTTTAATTTGCATTTCTCAATGTATGGTGATGGTGAACATTTATTCATGTATTTATTTTCCATTTGTATATCTTCATCTGAGAACTGTGTGTTCATCTCTAATGCCCATTTTTGGAGAGGGTCTTTGAATTTGGGGGTCTTGATGTTTTTCAGTTCTTTATATGTTCTGGATATAAGTACTTTGTCTGAGGAATTGTTGACTAAAATTCTTTCCCATTCTATGGGTTTTCTTTTCACTTTGTTGGTGATTTCTTTTGAAGTGCAAAAAACTTTTTAGTAGTGAGATCCCAGTTGTTGATTCTTCCAAGTGTTTCCCATGTGGTTTGCATTTTGTTCATGAATTCTCTCCCTACCCCTAGTCTTTTTAGCTACTTTGTCTTCCAGTAGATTTAGTGTTTCTGTTTTCATATTAGGATCTTCGATCCATTTTGATTTTAGTTTAGTTGATAGGCATGGCTCTATTTTTAGTCTTTGGCATGTGCAATGTCAAATTTTTCCAACATCATTTACTAAAGAGGCTATCCTCCCTCCAGTGTACATGTTTAGCCCCTCTGTTAAATATACGGTGGCTGAGTGTCTTTGCAGTAGTGTTTGCATCTTCTAATCTGTTCCATTGATCCTCAGGTTTGTTTCTTTGCCAGTACCATGCTGATTTTATTACTGTGGCTTTGTAGTATAGTTTCAAGTCAAGAATTGAGATGCCTCCTGCCTTGCCTTTGTTGCCGAGAATCGCCTTTGCTATTGTAGGTTTCTTCTGTTTCCAAATGAATTTTAGAAACACTTTTTCTAGATCTGTAAGGTACGTTAATGGTATTTTGATTGAGATTACATTGAATATGTATAACAGCTTAGGGAGTATGGCCATTTTTACAATTTTGGTTCTTCCTAACCAAGAGCAAGGAATATCCTTCCATTTTTGAATATCCTTTTCAATCGCCTTTTAAAGAGGTATAATTTTCAGCATATAGATCTTTTATCTTCTTGGTTAGGTTGATTCCTAAGTATTTCATTTTTTTAGATGCTGTTGTAAAGAGCGATATTTTCATAATTTCCCTCATAGGGAGTTTTTTGTTTGTGTACAGGAATACTATTGATTTTTGAGCACTGACTTTGTATCCAGCTATACTGATGAATTTGTTTATTATCTCTAGTAGCCTTTTAATGGAGTTTTGGGGGTCTTCCATGTAGAGTATCATGTCATCTTCAAATAGTGATAATTTAATTTCTTCTTTTCTTTTTCTTATTCCTTTTATTTCTCCCTCTTTTCTGATTGCTCTGACTAATATTTCTAGAACTATATTCAATAGGGGTAAGGATAGTGGACACCCTTGTCTTGTTCCTGATTTTAGAGTGAAAACTCAGTTTTTGTTCATTTAGTATAATATTGGCTGTTGGACTGTCATAAATGGCCTTTATGAGATTGAGATACATACCATCTATTCGGAGTTTCTGTAGGGTTTTTATTATAAACAGGTGTTGGACTTTATCAAAAGCTTTTTCTGCATCTATTGAGATGATAATTTGATTTTTATTTTTGGCTCTGTTAATTTGGTACATTACATTTATTGATTTGCATATGTTGAATCATTCCTGCATTCCTGGAATAAATTCCACTGGTCATGGTGTATTATCTTCTTGATGAGAGATAGAATGTCTATTTGCCAGTATCTTATTGAGAATCTTTGCATCAATGTTCATTAGTGAGATTGGTCTGTACTTTTCCTTTTTGGTTGAGTCTTTCTCTGGTTTTGGTATCAGGGAAATACTTGCCTCCAAGAATTATTTAGGGAAGACTGCTTTTCTTTCAATTTCACTGAAGAGTTTAAGGAGTATTGGCATTAAATCTTTTCTAAATTTCTTATAGAATTCAGCCATAAATCCATCAGAACCTGGGCTTTTTTTTTTGTTGGTAAGTTTTTAATCACAATATTCTGTTTTTATGCTGTATGTCTGGGATCTTAATTATTATATGTCTGATATTGGGTTATTCAAGACTGTTATATCTTCTTGATTGAGTTTTGATATTTCATATGTTTGTAGAAATCTGTCCATTTCCTCTGTGTTTTCCACCCTATGTGAGTATTTTCAAAGTAGGTATGCATGATCTTTTGAATTTCTGTGGGATCTGTAGTCATTTTCCTCTTTTCAGTCTCATGGATTGCATGGATTTGAGTTTTTTCTTTCTTTTTCTTGATAAGGTTGACTAGAGGTTTATCAATTTGTTTATCCTCTCAAAAACCCAGCTCTTTGTTTCATTATTTTTTTGTATTTTTTTGTTTCAATTGCAATAATTTCTGCTCTAATCTTTACAATTTCCTCTCTTCTATGCACTTTGGGTTTAACTCGCTCTTCCTTTTCTAGCAGCTTGAGAGGTAGCATTAGGTTTTCCTCTTTTCAAAGTAATGTTCTTCATCATGGAAGTATCTTGTTTCTCCATTAAATTTGAATGATAGTTTTGTTGAGTACATCAGTCTGGGTTGAAAGTTGTTTTCTTTAGGGCTTGAAATACTTCACTCCAAGCTCATCTTAACCCGATGGATTGTGCTGAGAAATCTGCTGTGATTCCAATAGGCTTTCCTTGAT